ACAGAAGAGACACAACTCTTTAGAAAGGTATGACTCGAATCCATTCATATACTAAAAATATAGACAATTCTGTGCATTACATTGCATTAGTTCCACCCAACAGTGAATCTCTCTCCCTCGTGTGATACCCAACCAATTTCCGTGTCTATGGGACCATCAAGTTAAAGGGGAATGTGGATAGCCTATCATCATCATTTAATGAAAACTGAAAGAAGCTTGAAGAGAGAAGGTTTTGGTTTGCATTGGCCATGCCTTTGAGTTTATCCATTCTTTTTTAGATTTACTAAGCAAAAAATTATGTAATCATAGGCCCTGAGCAAAGAGAGAAATTTTCAGTCCATTTGGATTGAGAAGTTTGTTGAGAAAAGAAAAGAAATAAAGAAAGAGAAAACTCTCATTACTTGTTTAGATGGTTGACGAGGTGAGAAATTGAGAGAAAAAGAATTCTATTGAAACTCACACCAAAATTGGCAAGATTTGGCGAGGAACGAAAATTGCATTATGTTCACCATGATATCGGTATAATATCTCCCCTCAAATAATTCTTTTTATTCTTTTTGGTATCAGAGTGACTTGGTTTGTGCGCCAAAGAGGGTGGCTTAGGTGGTTCACATGGTATATCACTATACTCACCATGATATAGGTATAATATCCCCCTCAAACTCAAATAGGTTTGAAGATAGAAACCGATTTGAGGTTAAAACAAAGGGAAAGACAAATTGGAGCAGAAACACACACAAACAAAAAGATTGCGAGTAAAAAAAATATGAGAGAGATATTTGGGATAGGAATAAGCTAGTGGATAGAGGAATAGATCACCACGAAACGATACTGAAAAGAAAATATGATAGTGAAATGGGTTGAGGTCCGGCGGACGGCCAAGACAAGACTGCCGCCCGTCGGTGAAGCGAAATTACTAGGTACTTAACCTAACTCTGATACTAAAAAGAATGAAAAGAATTATTTGGCTTACTCATGAATAAAGTAGAGGCCATATCTATATAATAGATTTATGATACAATTTAGGAAACGATATAAATAAGAAAATAATACTAAATCAGTGATTGACACAATCATAGATTATATACATAACACTAAAAATAAAAAGATTCTATGTACTCTAATTTCTATATTCAACACTCTCCCTCAAGCTAGGAATGGCAACGAGCCGGGTCAGGCCGGAGATTACACTCCCCATCCTCGATTCCCGAATATATGAAATTCCCCGTTCCCGCCCCCGATCCCCAACGGGGAACCCATCACCCCCCCTTCCCCCCCCACCACTATCACCGCTCATACCACCGCCATCGGCACCACCGCCACCAAAGCCTCAACTTCCACTATTATCATATTTTCACTATTATCACACTACTTCCACAAATCACTACTACATTATCACCATCTCTCTGCCACCCTCTCCACAACTATTTCCGCCATTACCATGTTAAAAAAAACAAAAAAAAAACAAGGAAAGAGGAAAAGAGAATTCCTAATTTTATTTATGGATCTCTAAGTTGAGTTCAAACATAAACAATTTGAAAAGTAATAATCTCAAGAAAAGTCGCCTATCCAAATTACAAGGAATGAAGAAACCAAGTTTTCTCATCATAAACCATCCTTCTTGCCCATTGACTCAACTTTCCCTTGGCTTTGTTCCGTCAGAGTGAGTTTCTTCACTTTCTATAGAGATAAAACAAAAGGAATTAACAAAACCAAGTAGAGAACAGCAGTTTTATACATACACAGAAAAATTATTAGGGCCAGAAAATTAGACAAATTTATTTATTCCATTATTAGGGCCAACTATACTTGTATATGTTTTACTCATTTTTTTCAATTGGGCCTAACCACATTTGTGACTAAATGTTTTTTTTTAATTGAGCCCAACACAGTTTTTTTGAAATCCTGTAGACAGAATGTAAATCAACAAAAATATAATTGGACCTATTTAAATGTACTACTAATGAATTTGGGGCTCTCTATTTTGAGGCCAAATTTTACGACCTAAAGCATAAACCTTAATGGCTTAGCCCAAGCCGGCCCTGATGTCTCAACCCAACTACTTTGCAATGCTTAATTCATGTATCGAGAAAGAAGGGCTATAAAAGACAATGCCGGCTGTAAAGCGGAGGAAAGTGTGGTTTCTTCTTGTCAGTTCACTCAATGTCAGTGTCAAGATGTGAGCAGAGCCAATGAAAGTAGGTCATGCTATAGAAATGTTTGTTGAATCAAATGCAAGAAAAGATGGCATCATGTTGGGAACTGATCACCCCAACGGCCATGAACAGAAGAGACACAACTCTTTAGAAAGGTATGACTCGAATCCATTCATATACTAAAAATATAGACAGTTCTGTGCATTACATTGCATTAGTTCCCACCAACAGTGATTTCTCTCCCTCTTGTGTGATACCCAACCAATTTCAGTGTCTATGGGACCATCAAGTTAAAGGGGAATGTGGATAGCCTATCATCATCATTTAATGAAAACTGAAAGAAGCTTGAAGAGAGAAGGTTTTGGTTTGCATTGGCCATGCCTTTGAGTTTATCCATTCTTTTTTAGATTTACTAAGCAAAAAATTATGTAATCATAGGCCCTGAGCAAAGAGAAGAATTTTCAGTCCATTGGATTGAGAAGTTTGTTGAGAAAAGAAAAGAAATAAAGAAAGAGAAAACTCTCATTACTTGTTTAGATGGTTGACGAGGTGAGAAATTGAGAGAAAAAGAATTCTATTGAAACTCACCCAAAATTGGCAAGATTTGGCGAGGAACGAAAATTGCATTATGTTCACCATGATATCGGTATAATATCTCCCCTCAAATAATTCTTTTTATTCTTTTTGGTATCAGAGTGACTTGGTTTGTGCGCCAAAGAGGGTGGCTTAGGTGGTTCACATGGTATATCACTATACTCACCATGATATAGGTATAATATCCCCTCAAACTCAAATGGTTTGAAGATAGAAACCGATTTGAGGTTAAAACAAAGGGAAAGACAAATTGGAGCAGAAACACACACAAACAAAAAGATTGCGAGTAAAAAAAATATGATAGAGATATTTGGGATAGGAATAAGCTAGTGGATAGAGGAATAGATCACCACGAAGTGATACTAAAAAGAAAATATGATAGCGAAATGGTTGAGGTCCGGCGGACGGCCAAGACAAGACTGCCGCCCGTCGGTGAAGCGAAATTACTAGGTACTTAACCTAACTCTGATACTAAAAGAATGAAAAGAATTATTTGGCTTACTCATGAATGAAGTAGAGGCCATATCTATATAATAGATTCATGATACAATTTAGGAAACGATATAAATAAGAAAATAATACTAAATCAGTGATTGACACAATCATAGATTATATACATAACACTAAAAATAAAAAGATTCTATGTACTCTAATTTCTATATTCAACACTCTCCCTCAAGCTAGGAATGGCAACGAGCCGGGTCAGGCCGGAGATTACACTCCCCATCCTCGATTCCGAATATATGAAATTCCCGTTCCCGCCCCCGATCCCCAACGGGGAACCCATCACCCCCCTTCCGCCCCACCACCGCCACCCTACAGGGATTGGGTTTCCCTGACCCCGAAAAATCCTGACAACGTCCAGATCTGAGCCAGATCTGTTCAACAAGAAAAAAAAAAAAATAGATAAAAAAATATATGTTAACAACAACAACATTTTCATATTCAGATCTGAGCCTTGAACACAGACAGCAACAACATTATCATTTTCATCAACATCAACATCAACATCAATATCATCAACAACATGTATTAATATGATGACACAGAGAGAAACAAATGATTATATATATATGATTAATAGCAAACACAACATATATATTATATATATATAAGAAGAAGAAAAAAGGGTGACATCTGAACAACAACACATGATTA